GAAAGCACCTGAAATAGCTCAAGATGCTGCCCAGATGTCATCGGACCTTGTTTCAGGAACAATGTTATGTCCTAAATACATTCCTCTTTACCCTTGATTAGTCACATGGACCTGCACTTCTTTCTAACTTTAACAGAAGACTTTGTCCTTAGAGATGTTCACTCTTGGAACCACCAGTTAGCATAATGGCTATGTCACCATAATGGCTATGTCACTGAACTCCCATGTAGATGACTGCGGTTCGAGTCCCGGACCTGGTGGTTTAAACTCACGCCAGGTGCACGCGTGTGTGTGTGTGTGTGTGTGTCTGTGTGCCCAAGATTGTGGCGTGGCTATCCCCCCCCGGGGGGGGTGATTTCTCGCTTTCTGTCTCTCTGGCGAGCGCACACCCCCTATAGCAAAAACCTCTCCAAAAAAAAAAGTGTTCACTCTTGCCCACTTTTCTTAGGAACACTGATTCAACCTAAATGGGTTGTTCCTAGCCTACAGCCTCTAAGATCCCAAGTAAAGCTTTTAGCTCATTACAGGTTTGGCATTTAAAGGTCATTGACATGGAATCAGCAGATGGCATAATGGCTACGTCACTGGACTCCCAAGTAAGTCAACTGCAGTTCAAGTCCTGGACCTGGTGGCTTAAATCTCATGCCAGGCACATGTACGTGTGTGCCCCAAATCCTGAGAGCAGACTGGAGGAGTAAGGACTGTGGTGTGGCCATACTCCCTGAGGGGTGATTTCTTGCTTTCTATCTCTCTGTCTCTCTGACGAGCACACACACACACCCTATAGGAAAAATTTCTCTTAATAAAAAAAAGTCATGGAAAGAACACCTACTATAGTTAGGAAGATGATAGTTACATTCGAATAATGTTGTCTTTTTTATATAATAATTTATTGCATCAGCTTTTGAACCACATTAGAATATTAGTTTTATGTAAACTGGTATGATTGTCTTTAATTACAAATGATTTATGTTTGCACTGCAATTTTTATTTACTGTATCTGGCTCTGATAACTCTGGGTCATTTCCAAAAATCAAATCTTAGGAATGAAGATTTGGGGGCTGGCAGGTAGTGTGGTGGTTGAGGGCCTGGAGTCCCACATGACCAACTGCAGTTTGAGTCACAGACCAGATGGCTTGCTTGCTTTCTTTCCCTCTCTCCATGTGTCTTTCTCTGGTCAAATTAAAATAAATAAATAGTTCTAAAACAATTATTAATTATTATTATTATTTTTTTTACTTTTTTTTTAAGAGGTTTTTGCTATAGGGCGCGTGTGCTCGCCAGACAGAGAGAGAGAGACAGAGAGACAGAAAGCAAGAAGTCACCCCAGGGGGGATGGCCATGCCACAATCCCTTCTCCATTCTCCTCTCTGGATTTTGGGCACACACATGCACACACCCAGTGTGAGTTTTAAGCATCCAGGCCCAGGACTCAAACCACGGTCGACTATATGGGAGTCCAGTGATGTAAACATTATGCCATCCACTAGTCCCAAAGCAAATTTTTAGAAATTAAGAAAAAAAACTATCAGGCCAGCCAGGTGGAGTGGTGGTTAAGGCATTATGCTAACTGCTGGTCCCCCAATTTTTTTTTAAAATAAAGATTTGGGGCCAGCCAATGGCATGGTGGTTAAGGCAGCTGAATTCCACATGATTGGCTGCACAGTTCAAGTCCCAAACCTGGCAGCTTGAGTAACATATTAGGTTTGTGTGCATACATGCCCAAAATCCTGAAAGAAGGGAGGAATGGAGGAGAAGGAATTGCAATGTGACCATTCCCCCACAGCTGGTACTTTCTGACTGCCCTCACACCTCTCTCTCTCTAGTGATTACACATGCTTCTGAAAAAGAAAAATTATTTGGGGCCTAATGGCTAAAAGAAGTATATTCCACATGGCCAGCTGCAGTTTTAATACTGATCCTGGCAGCTTGAAAAACATGTGAAGTGTGCATGCATGTATGTCCAAAATTCTGATGGAAAGGAGAAATGGAGTAAAGAAATTGAGACATGACCACAGTCCATTGGGGGGTGGTGCTCTCTCTTTCTGACAAAAGCACATACCCTCAATAAGTGGCAATAATTACAACACAAAAAGTAGACTTGTGGAGCCAGGTCGTGGCACAATGGTAATGAAACGACACATGTGGGAAAGATTCCTTGGGACTTTCCTGGGCATGCTAGATTCATGCTGAGATCCAGGCCAGCTGAGAATGGTAGTGGACTGCAGGATAGAGACCTTGTTGATCATTTTGCTTTCTCATGGAAGAAATAAATACACTTTAAAATAAGATTTCCTACTGTGAGGAAATTTAAAAAGTTTTAAAATTAGGGTGCTAAAGCAATCTGAAAAGCATTGTAATTTAGGATACGCCTAGTTCTTACCAAGGTTAACCACTTAGAAAGCAATACTTAGATGATCAGGTTAGGGAGAAAAAAAAATCTCATTACTTTATTATGCCCTTTATTTCTTCCATCACAATGGAAGTATTGCTATTTGTGAACAGTACAGAAATAAAGGGCATACATATTTAATACTGGAAGTAACTCTCTGTATTAATCTGTTATTAAATTGCCAATAGAAATACCCAATTGTGGGTGAATTATAAATAAAGAGAGGTTTATTGACTTATAATTCAAGTGGCTGAGAAGTCCAAAGGCATTACAAAATGGCAGAAGGCACAATTTTGAGAATGAAGTGTGGTCTATATTCAGGTGGCTCTACCTGCCTACTTCTTACAAACAAACCAGAACTCAATCATGTTGGAGAATATCAGATTACCATCTGCTAAAACCAAATTACAAAATCTTTGGAAGAAAAACCCTTATCCACACCATAACACCATCCAGCCTTATTAGCACATAATGGATTTCAAAACCTCACATTTGCCTGAGGGATAACTTAGCTAAAAACTGAAGGGAGTAAAATACCCATTTGATACATTTCAATGTAGGACAAGGAAGAACTATGAGGGATGAATGGGAGATAAAGAGATGGTTATGAATGCAAGATTTTAAAAAATGGCCAGTGAAAAGGAAGAAGTTAGGGTGAAAGAAGAAAACTAATGGTAAGTGAGGATTTTATTTCTTTTTGAAGTTTATTTCTTCCTTTCATGAGAGAGCAAATAAAAGCAAGCAACAGAGAAAGAGTCACCCACAAAAGGGTCCCCATACCATGACCTATTCCCAGTTTCTGCCAGCCCTGGATTATGGACACACCTGACATGCTTGGGAAGGGCTCTAGACATGAACCCAAAAACCTTTCCATGTGGATCAACCTCACGAGATTGTGCTATTGCCATACCACTGTCCAACCCTAGTTTCCTATTTTTAGAAGTCCAACCCTAGTTTCCTACTTTTAGAAATACATCTTTAATTAAAAAAATAAAGAGGGCAAAGATTCTTCTTATAAAATCTGAAGCATTACAGATAAAGCTAAAGTCTCCTTTAATCACTAGGCTCAATATCTGTCCTAGTAGCAATTTAACATTTATCTTTCTTGTCTTTCTGTATGCACATACATATATCCATGCACATCCTTATCTGCATCTAACCTTTTCCATTCAATGGTCTTTTTTTAAGAGTGAGTGATTTTTTATTTAACTTTCTTTATTTATTTTAATTTGACCAGAGTGAGAGAAAGAGAGAGAGAAAGAGGAAAAGGCAAAATGAGAAATCAAGCTGCCAGGTCCAGGACTTGAACTGTGGTCAGCCATGTGGGAATCCAATGCCCTTAATCACCATGCCATTTGTTGGTCCCAGTCTTTAAGAGAATGATGGCACAATACAGATACAACTGTTATAAACATTTAAGTTATTTCCAATTTTACTATTATCAGCAATGCCACAGATGAACTGTTTTTCTAGGGCGGATACCAAGAGTGGCACTGCTGGGTCATAGGGTATGGGATATTTAAAAATTCCATAGATATTGGCAAATTGCCCTTCAAGATAGCTGTTATCAGTTGGTCCTCCTACCAGCAGTGTTTTAGTTTCTGGGGTTTAAAAAAAAAACAAACATTTTAATGTTTGATTAAAGGTTCACAGCAGAAATGCATAGATGCCTTAAAAATGACTTAACATTTATATACTTAGAATAGACAAGGTACTAGATAGAGAGTAACTAGATTTCTGAGGAAATATTAGGGGATAAAGTTTAGAGTATGAGCGAAATCATTAGTCCTAGATGGTTTTTCTTCGTTATTTTTTTGTCCTGGGTATATGAAATAGAAGGCAAAGTAGAAAAACTGTCACAAGAGGACTAAAGAATGTGGATACATTTAAAAATAGGTTATATAGAAACAAATGAGAAAGCAGGTGACAAGGACGGTGTTTCTCAAAGCCTGTTTCAGCAATTCTAATTCCATAAGAACACCAGAGGGGGAGAAAATGTTTTATGGTCAGAAAGTTTGGTTAAGTCCTGCATTTTTTGAAGAACCATTTATTTATTTGTTATTATTGTTTAATTCACCAGAGAGAGGAATGCAATCCGTCGGGTCCTGAACTTGAACGGTAGTTACCCACAGGGGAATCCAGCACCTTAACTACCATGCCATCTGCTGGCCTCTAACTCTTTCATAACTCCCTTTTACATGTCAACATATTTAAAGGCTCTGAAACAGACTTGGAGTAAATAAAGGTATTTAACAGTATTTTTGAGAATATGAAGGAATCTTCAAAAAGTTCATAGAAAACATGCATCATGGGAACCAGCAGTTAGCGTGAGGGCTATGTCGCTGGAATCCCACGTAGTTGACCGTGGTTCGCGTCCCAGACCTGGTGGCTTAAAACTCACGCCCGGCGTGTGTGCGTGTGTGTCCAAGATCCTGAGAGGAGAATGGAAGAGAAGGGACTGCGGCGTGGCCATCCCCCCTGGGGGGTGATTTCTTGCTTTCTGTCTCTAAGTCTCTGTCTGTCTGGCGAGCGCACGCGCCCTATAGTGAAAACGTCTCCAAAAAAAAAAAAAAAAAGAAAGAAAACATGCACCATGAAAAAACTGCACAAATTTTAAATTTTACTTGCACCAGAACAAACTTGTACTTTAATTGAATTTTCCATGAATTACTTGAAGTAGCCTCATATATATTCATTTAATAAATGGTGGGATGGGGCCAGCAGATGGCATAGCTGTTACATCGCAGACTCCCTCATAGCCGATCATGGTTTGCGTAGCAGACCGGTAGCTTGAAATTCACACTGGGCACGTGTACGTGCCTGTTGTGTCCAAGATCCTGGGAAGAGAATGGAGGAGAAAGGGATTGTAGTGTGACTATCCCCCCTGGGGGGTAATTTCTCGCACTCTCCCTCTGTCTTAGTCTCTCAGTTCTCCCCAGAGAAGGCACAGGCCACAAAGCAAAAACCTCTTATTGGTGATACAGTGGTAAACTGTGACACTTCTGTGAGGTTGGCCAACAATGGAAGAACATCTTGTCTGATGACCTGAGTACACCAGGCCCATGATTTGTGTCTGACTGAGGGTGGGGGTAGAATTGTGGCATTAGGACCCTGTGGGGTGCTGTCTCTATTTCTCTTGCAATGGAGTAAGTAAATAAACTGAGGGAAAGAAAGCAAAATATGTAATAGAAAGAGCACAGGTTTTGTAATGAGAGGTCTTGAGTTTAAGTCCTGGCTTTGTATTTAGTATATTCATGCATTCAAAACTAATAACCCATTTTCTTCTTCTTTGTGCTTTAGAGTTCTTAGGAGGCTCTACATATTTTTTTTTTCTAAAGGAAATCAGAATGATATTACTTGACTTTTTTTTTTTTTAAGAGGTTTTTGCTATAGGGTGTGTGTACTCCCCAGAGAGAGAGACAGAGAGACAGAAAGTGAGAAATTACTCCCAGGGCTGATGGTCACACCACAATCTTTTCTCCTCTCAGGATCTTGGGCAATAACGCACACGGGCCGGTGTGAATTTAAGACACCGGTCCAGGACTCGAACTGTGGTAGACTACATGGGAGTCCAGCGACATAGCCATCACGCTAACTGCTGGTCCCGATATTACTTGACTTTTTAAAGCCATGTAATAACTTCCAATTACTCTCAAGAAAAAGTCCAATCCTTTAACATGGCCTTAGAAGAACTTTTGTGGACTCTCTTTAATTTTCCACTTTCACTATTCTCAACAATCTAAAGTCTTTTTCATCCCAAGGCCTTCTGTGCAAGCTTTTCCTTTGCCTACAATGCTCTTCCCCATACACTACTACTAGCAACAATACTGCTAATAGCAATAGTTATGACCTACTGAATTCTTGCTAAGCACAGAACATTTAATAAACATGAATAGTTTATGAAGTAGGTACTATTCTTATTCTAGATGTACAGACAAGGTACAGCCAAGTGAAGTTATTTATGCCCAGTAGCACAGCTGTTAGGTATAGGCACTGGGTTTCAAATTCATATCTGTCAGAATTCAATGATGTTCTGAATTCCTGCTATTACTCTATCAACTTCCTCCAGGAAGTCTAATCTTTAATATCCTCTCAGGGACAACATGATAGGGAATGAACGAAAGTCAATGATCGCCTGTTTACTTTATACCTCCCCAGTCAGAGGACAAATAAGACAACTGAACCCAGGTAAGATTGTATCCTGTTTGCTTTTGCTTCCCCAGATCCTAGCTCAGTTCCTGATACCCGTAATAGGCGTTAATAAATATTTGTTGAAGAATCAAATAAGTGAAAAATGCTTTAAAACAGAAAGACAGAATACACTGTTACTATTATTATTTTTGAATGCAGCTAAGGAATGTCACCAGGCTTACCAGTGTGTGATCTATGGAATCCACCTTTTCCCCCTTTTTGCAGGGTGGTACTTTTGCATATATCCGTTCTTCTGTGACTCCGTCTATTCCTTAAATACTGCCAACAAACATTCCCTCCCCCCCTTTCACAATAATCTGCCTCTTGTGAAAATCTTTTGAAGAGAAAAAACTAAAAAACTAAAATGTTAAAATTAACTTTTTCATCATAATAATTCTTTTTAAAAATATAGTAAAGCAAAACATCTGAGATCGCTGAGGGAAAAACTATTTTTTAAAAATGAATTTTAAAACGAAATTAGGCCTATCGGATAAATGAAACCTTCCGGTGCTGCCTAGGCAGTATTGCCCCAGATGGCATCTTAATTTTCATAATAGTGTACCAAGGGCCTTCAGTAATATAAATACAGAGAAAACAGGTGCCGCACTGAGCAGGGGGTTTGTCAAAAATCAACCTTCTTTGGCTCCAGTTTTTGACAAAGAGCCCAGAAGGTAGGGTAATCGGTCCTTTAGGTCTCACCACCTTCTAGGGGAAGGAAAACGAGGAGAGGAGTGAAAAAGGGGGACTGGGAGAGAAAATGTGGAAAACAGAATCAAACTACTCCTCAGGTAGAGCGATGGGGCTCGGGCAGCGTCCTCAGCGCGACCCCTCCAAACGACCCGTTAGGTTCTGTCAATTTTGTCTTTTCAATGAAAAAAATGACATCTGGCTTTCTAAGTAAGCGAATACAAGAAAAAGGAAGGAATTCTGTCTCGTGAGAACTTCGGCGCCGGGTCGGCGTCCAGGAACGCCACCGAGGACCGCCAGGCCCCGGCTCGGGGCCCGACACCCCCCCCGAGGCCCGCCAGTCCAACCGCTGCCGGCTCTCGGATGCCCCCGGGGGCCCGACGCCCAGCCGGGCTTCCCCTCGCGCTCCCGCTACCCACAAGCCACCGCGCGTCGGCGCGCACGCGCAACGGCGGCGGCCGTCTCAGGAAGAGGAAAATGGAATAAACAAGTCGGAGGAACCAGAGCGCGAGAGAGCGAGTGGAGGCAGAATTTAAAAATAAGCCGTCCCCTCCACCCTCCCCAGCCGCTCGCCGCAGCCGTTCCCTCTTCTCTTGCCCGCGTCCTCGAGGTCCCTGTCTGCGCCCGCGCGCCCACC